CCCCAAAACCCCAAAACCCCAAAACCCCAAAACCCCAAAACCCCAAAACCCCAGACTAGCTACATGAATTGAACCTTCTAAGACAAAATGAATGCTACATATTTTGAACAATTTTACTATGAAAAACTAGTTACATTTTGTTCGATTTTGGAACGAGTATTTTGCTGTCTGGTTTAGCCTGGAGGAGTCCAGCAGTTTTATATTACTGATACATTTAACCTTCCTTGGACGATTAGATAACAGATAAGTAGAGTTCTCTGACTCATCTGTCATCGTAAAATTACATTCGTTTAAGTCAGATGAATCCAAAGTAACGTGGATCAAGTTCAGATCTTTCTTATGTAAGACCTTCCTCTGGGGATTTGCTTTTATTTTAGGAACAAATCTTTTCTTAGGGAGATCTCTTAGCCTCAAATTCGAATGGACACTACTGCTGAACTGCTTGAGCTTTGTTGAGACAGATCTGTTTCTTGAAGATTTAACTTTAGTAGTGTGATATTGACTCTCAGCTCCTCGATACATCCCTTTGTTAGAGTCAACTTTAAGTCTGTTCACTTTACATTGATTTGAAGGCAAATTACGGGAGGTAGAATTGCCAACCAATTTCCTTGTACCCAAATTCCTCGAGATCTTGCTTACCATCACATTAGAAGGAGTTGTGACAGTGCTTTGCATCATTTTATTTTTGAGTCTGATATTACAATCAGCTGAGGATCTCTTATTTTGAGAAATTGGTAGTGCTTCAGACACTACTTGCTCCTGAGCAACGTCCGTTCTTCTTGCTCCGATCATTGTTTAGAGTAACCTGGATCCTTGATCCTTTTATATAATTGCAATAACTAGCTTTCCTCTGACAGAAATTATTAATCATCGGTTGAGAGGAGTTTTTGCACATGTTCTGTCCTTTAGTCTTCGAAGTAACAATCCGAGACAAAGAATGAAGTTTATTTATCTTCCCTCTATCATTAGTCCTCTTACTACCTCTATTGATGATTCTCTTCTTTGTTTTAGATTTGGTTTCCAAAAAGTTGATATTCTCTTTGTCTTTCTTAGTAGCTTTTGTGCGAGATTTTGAGAAATGTTTCTCATATTTTGAAAACAACTTCTCAAAACAGTCTCTACAGTCTTTATACTGATATTTCGTAAAGGATTCAAGACTTTTGTCCCACATTGGTTTGATTCCCAGAATCTTCCTAGCTGCGATCAACGAGGCGATGGCTTGGATAGAGAACTTGTACTTTTGGAGCTCAAGTGATTGGTAAGCTATGTCCATGAAAAACTCAGAGAATTTATTCATCTGCTTTAGTTTATCTTTGCTCATGGTGAGACCCATTTTCTTGGCCTTTTCAACAGGCTTTGCATTGGCAGGGTCTCAAAGATAGAGCAAAACACTGAGAAAATAGCTTGGGCAGATAGAAATAAGATCCCATTTCAATAAATCTAAAAACTTAGCTTCGCATTTCGTCACTTCTTCATAAGTGTACTTTGCTCTGGAAGAGACCTTCCCAAATTCTTGAATATAAGGAATATTTTGATCAAGCTCGTCATATTTAGAAGCCAATAAGAGTGCAGTAACAGCCCATAGATGCTTGTCCTTATTTAATTAGCTCTAAATGTCCTATTTCGAAGAGCCTGTCAAGATAGCTATATAAGTCAACACAAAATGATTACTTAACGGCTATCTGCATTGTCAAAGTACGTTGACTGAGCCTGTCTCCTATTTGAAGAACAAACTCTATTAAATATTTCCGCATTTTCGAGACCTCAGGATCGCTTCTGAGTGTATCGCTCATGAGAGGACTCACCTTCTCATCTTGAAGAAGGAAGTCCCAGTGTTCCTGGATCTGAGCGAAGTCTCTTTCAAACATTGTTTTGGTAGACATCATTTACTAAATATTTATTAATTCGGCCTAACGTTTATCTTCTGGGGTTTTGGGGTTTTGGGGTTTTGGGGTTTTGGGG